GAAACGCTAAACCCTAAACCTAATGAACTGGGTGGTTGTCAAGATTATTGTCCCTTTTTGCATCCCTATTATAATACGGCGCCTAATATTTAGGGTACCCAAAAAGGGACCATAATTTTGACATCCCCCCAACTGAGATTTTGACCCCAAACGGTCTTGTGTTCAGGGCTCAGGCAAAGAGAAAAAAACAGTATGAGTGTTGATAGGGTTATGGGAGTCTCGCGAAATAGGGCCGCAGGTAGAAGGATTCTGCGTTGAATACCAGGGTCCCTTTTTGACATTATGGCTTCTCTTTCTCAAACACCGATTCTTGCAGCCCCACTACAGTCCTATGGATCATACCTACGAACGAACCAGAAACCCTTGACTCTGAACTACACCCAACCCCCCAAAACCCCCAACCCAGGGAATTGGGGATACAGGTAAGCCCTGAGCCCTCCCGCCTCCTCTAACGGAGGAGCAGCATCGGCCTTGGGTCGAGATCGCCACACCTGGATCTACTGCTTGGGTGGGTCCGGGGGACTTAGTAAACATGGTTTTGGGATTCGGCGTCAGGGTCGAAGGCTTTAAGGTCTAAACCCTAAGCCCTCAACCCTTACCCCTAGGGCGTAGGACTGAGGGTATTGTTTTTGGCTTAAGGTTAAGGCCTTCAGGTTTGGGTTTTTGGCTTGAGGGTTTTGGGTCCAAGGTTTAGGGTTTAGGATTCAGATCTTTGGGCGTAAGATTTGGGATCTGCTGCAGTAATGGTCTGTGTCCCAAAACGATGTTTGTTTGCTTATCATGTTCAATACAATGCTTTTCTTGGGTACGTGGGGGGATCCGCCTTCAAAGAAATAGATTAAGTAAAGCTGCAGCCGGTCTAGCACGTCTATCTGAAGCCCCCCGAACCCTAAACCGCGTGCACACAATTTAGAGTCCCCTTAAGTAGATAGAATATGGGGTATACGAGGATCTTATTATAACCCCATATTCTATCTACTCAAGGGGGACTATAACCCAAAACCCTAAATAGTAGTTTCCATGTTCTCTTCCATTATCCCTATATAACCCCCATATAACATCATATAACCCCAAAGGAAACCCTACTTAAGGGGGGCTATAGGGTTGAGGGGAGCTTCAGGGCCGGGATCTTTGGGGTAAAATTTCAAGCGTGTTGTCACAAAATAGATGTACCTGAAAAGATTCCAGGGAAATACAAGGATTGTCAACAGATTCTCGTTGAATGTCGCACACTCCCTGGAGGATGGTTTGAGGAGTAATTACGAAACCTGAAGTCCCCAGGAAAAAAACTTCAACCTTCACCGCCCAAACCCTGCGTAGACCCAACACAACCGATAGTTCTAAGGCTTTGTATACTATGAAAACAAAGCGGGTATATGGGGATCTTATTGTAATATACCCAACGCCATATTCTATCTACTTAAGGCGGACTAAAAGTCCTGCATGCCTTTCCCCCAAAGTCTTTGCTGCTCAGCTGCACGAGGCATGGCAACTTCCCGGCTTCCAAGAGCCCTAAGACAACTCTGTTCAAACCTCCTTTGGGCCAAACAAGCAAGTGAGTGGTTGTCAAAAGTATGATCCCTTCTGGAGTACCCTAAATATTAGTTGCCGGATTATGATAGGGATCCAAAAGGCACCATCATTTTGACCACACCCAAGTGAAAACGCGATCCACAACACAATGCGCGCACTGCAGGCTTTTATTAAGCGACTTGCAAAACCAATGAATGTTTCTCGAAAGTTGCGGCTCCGTTTACGGATCTGGAGTCTACATGGATCCCAAAATCTTCAGCCTTGACTGATGGGACACAAATACAGATGTCAGCTACGTTGGCTTATCTGGGTCCTGGAAAGCAAATCCCAGACCCTCAGCCTTAACAATAATGAGACGTTATCCCGAGGGCCCACTACAGCTTCAATCTCCAAACCCAGCTAGTTTTTACCCTCAACTCCTAACCCTTAGAGCCGGTCTCCAGAGCCCCCATAGCGCTTACGCAGTAGGACTAGGTTGCAAGCTTCAGTCAGAACACTTCGCATCCTCTTCCCATATCCCCTAGGACCTACCTTGTGCTGGCAGTGACCTACGTTGTGCTGGCACTGGAAAACGTAGTGTAGGGCTTATAGTCCCCCTTAAGTAGATAGAATATGGCTTTGAGCATATTAAAGAAAGATACCCAAAAACCCCATATTCTATCTACTTGAGGGGGACTATAGCGTTTAGAATCTTCCGTGTAAGGCGTGAAGCATTACAACTGGGCTGCTCTTCTCGAATGCCAAAACCCCAAAACCCTAAACCCTAAACCCTAATTGGGAACCAGGGCCCTCCCTTCCAAGGTTTTGTCATCGTTCTGCATCCTAAACCTGAATACAACAAGCACTATTTCGGCTAAACCTGGGTTGATATCAGGGTTTAGGGTTTAGAGTTTAGGGTTTAGGGTTTAGGTCGCTGGGTTGATATGGCACTTGATCTATAGCCCTGAGGGTCCAAGGACTCAGATAATGGGGCTTACAGGCCCAAATACTATAATATCAATGGTATTTGGGCCCTAAACCCCTATTATCTGGGTCCTTGGACCCTGAGGTTGTTTTTCTGAGGAAACTACTTAGGATACCTGTAAGTCTATAAGGAAGAATGTGAAATTATGCTCCAGAATTGTTGGTTGGGGAACAGGAGTTTTGATCAGCTACCACGTTGGGAAGGACAGGTCTTGCTGAACCCTTGGGCTTTGGGGCTTAGGTGTCGTGTTTAGGGTTTGAGGCCCTAACCCCTAAACCCTAAACCCCTTTGCTGGGGTTTAGGGTTTAAGGCTTTGAGGGCTAAGAGTTTAGGTTGCAGAGGCATGCGCTAAGGGCAAGGTCTTGGACACATACCTGGCAGGTCAGGGAAGACTTGCAAGTAGATTAACAAGGGAGATAGCCTTTCTATGGCTTGCAGTATTTTCGCTTAAGAAAGCTTACGAAGTCTCACTGACCGTAAGACCTGAACCCTAAGTCTTAGGGTCACAGGTTAGTAGATGCTTTTCTCCCCCTGACTGCTCGAGAGCGTCGACCAGGACACCTGTTCTGAGACCCGCAACCCAGACACGAAAACAGCATTGTGTCAGCTGCGGATGTCTTTAGGGGTATCAGTCTTCTTTGGATAAGTGACGG